ACAAGAAAAGAGAAAGTAATATTACCGTCATCCCTTCAGGGGACAAAACCAAACTCCATACCAAATAAAAAGGTAAAGTAATATCTTCCTTGTCAATATTAATATCCTTTCAGTCATCTCTTTTGCATAAAATCTTCACTCTGGAGTGAACACTGGAAAGTATTTTGAATCTGTTTACTGAAACATGGCAGTTGCAATTCATGTATGTTTACTGGCAATTCTAAAAGTACCTTTCCTCTCAACTGCTGGGACAAACTCGTTCTGCACCAGGCACACACGTGAAAGGTCAGTGGCTTCTGAATATAAAATACATCTAAAAACTCAAAATAAGTACAAATTTGCAGACAATATTCAAAGTGCCTTATCAGTTTTTACTCAAATTAGGATGTCTTTCTGTAATTCTTAATGAGTGGACAGAGGTCAAACATAGGTTAAGTAACTCTAAACTTCACTTGACAGCCACCAACTTTCTCTTTGTCTAATATTTTGTTTCTAAAGATAGAAGATCCTGTGGCAGGAAAGATCAAATCATCTTCTCTTGCAACAACAAGACAGGATCTTAATGGCTTCCATCTCATTCCACCCAGAGTGACATTTGGAGTGTTAAAGGAAGGCTGCACCTATGCAACCACTGTAGTCTTGAAGAATGTTGGTGTGAACTTCTCAAGGTTAGTTTGAATTTTTAGTACCCTGGTTTTTATCTATCTGTCCAAATAGATCCTGACAAAAATCAAGTACAGTTTCTTGGAACAGCCAGCACTCCAGAGAAAGAGCAGGAATTCTGCCAGCCAGTTTATAAGTCTGCCAGAGCTCTCCATAAGATGGAGCTATATACTAGGAATGCCTCTTCTACTGCCTCTCTACTGCCTTTCCTTTAACCGCTTCTGGTGCAAGTGCATGCTGGTAAATGTTCTTCAAGTGGAAATGAAATCCACAGGATAAATTCCAGAGTGATACAAAAGTGAAGGTCACATCTGTTCTAATGATCTTTAGAAATTTTAATAATGGAAGTTACATGCACAAAAGGGCTGAATCTCAGATGTGTATGAGTGAGAAATGAGGAAGTGAAACTTCTTTAGTTGGTACTATTTTAAATAAAAGATTATTTACACAAAATGCATACCAATATCATGCCTTGTGCAAAAGAATCATATCAAAGGACATTAAATAAAGATCATTAAGACTCCTGGGTGTGCAAGGCACAGGTGTCTGCCAAGATGTTTGTACTTCAGTTTCCTTTGCATGTGTAAGCTTAAAATGCTGATGTTTCACATTCTGTTGTAAGGACTAGGCAGTGTTAACAAGCTTTCTGAAGGCCCAATAATCTGCTCCTTTGGGGTTTTTTTGTTAGAAACCAGAGCCTTGGCAAGAAGCCCAGGAATACCACTGTAGTCCAAGTTGTACATTGTGATGGAAAGGATGAGCTAACAAATTCTGCTGTCATTTACAAAAGCAGAGGAAGAGCAGACAGCCAGCTTCCTAGATGTGACTTCTGCCTGCCTGAAACAATTTCTGTCAAACTGATTCTCTTCTCTTTCTGACAGGTTTCGGGTGAAGCAGCCACCTCCATGTACAGGACTGAGAGTGATGTACACACCAGGACCTGTAGGTTACACAAGAGATCTTTTGGTTTTTTCTAGACTCAGCTGGCCCTCAGGCTATCTAGGGGTCCTGTCACAGAAGCTGTCTGGAAATAGAGCTGGCAGGGTACACAATTTGTTTAAAGTTAATTGAAGTGATGATGTCTCACTGTTCCTCTGCCACCTTCAACCAAGCACCCTGTGTGCTTGAGTCTCAGCTTGTGCCAGAATGCAGAGGGATAAACATGTGAAGTTCAGTGTAAAGCAGCAGGTCAGGCAGTGAGGTTAAAGAGAGCTTTTTCAAAGCAAACACTACCTCTGAGTTTTCCCCTCCATTTAGGGTATTATTTGTAATATCTGCTCTATCTTACGCCTTGAGTTTATTTCCTGTCCTGATACCTTCAGGAGTTGAACTTAGTAAACTATTGCCTCAGTCCTTTCTTCTCATGCTTCCAACTATTTTCCACTTTAAGGCTTTTATCTAGCAAAGCACCATAGCACATTGTTATCTCAGTAAGTAGGAAGCTTTCATGCTTTCTGCTTTTGTTCAGTCTCTCTCTTCACTTGCACATTGTATCTGAATAAATAGTACTGGCCAGTATCCCCACAGCATCCAGGTAATACCAGCCCAAATCTTTGCCAATGTGTGGAATCAAGAAGCAATGACTTGTGCAGGGAGGCAGCGCCAGAATGCAAGTCAAACCTCCTAGTCCAGAGCCGTAGCCACAACTCAGTACTTAAAATCAGAATAATTTAGGGAGAAGGATGTTGTGGGGGACTGTGTCAAAGGCTTTACAGAAATCCAGCTAGATGGCTGGAATAATTTCTATTATCTTATTTTCTCCACACATCCACCCTTTTTGTATCTCCCTACCTTCTATGTTCTTTTTAGAACAGAGTATTTATTTCATTTGGAAGGGACATGCAATGGCCATCTAGTCCAATGGCCTGACCATTGCAGGGCACTGACCAAAAGTTAAAGCATGGTATTAAGGACACTGTCGAAATGCCTCATGAACACTGACAGGCTTGGGGTATCAACCACCTCTCTTTTTGATTCTCTCTCAGCTGGCCTGATTCCCCTTTTTTTCTCTGGAACCTAAAAGGAAATATAAGGGGGGAAAATGTGAACACCTGATACTTTTCTTTCAAACGACAATGTTTTGTACAGACCTTTCTAGTGAAACAGAGTCCAGGGTAACTGGCACGCGCAGTAATGTGCTGGGCAAGTGAGTCTTTGATTTCATCAGACAACACTGAAGAACAACCAGCTCCAAGGATTGCTGGGGGACACATGTATGAAACTTGCACCTTACCTGTGAGTAATTCTCTGTCTCTCTTAGGTGGCAGCAGGCTTGGAAGTTGAACTGGAGATAGAGATTTTTGCCATGGTAATTGAAGGGAAAGATACTGGTGGCCTTGAAGAAGTTTCCCATGATATTGAAATATTAACAGAAACAGACACTCTTCTCCTGCCTGTGAAAGCAAATATCCTTTGTTGTCTTATTTCCCACACACATCTTGTGGCATCAGCCCCAGAGACCATCTTCCTGCCAGGAGCCTCAAGCATTGTTTCCAGTGCAGGCTGCTGAGGTAGCAAGCTTTACTGTAGTTTTCAGAAACACACAAAAGGATGTTTTGAAAAGCACAACAAATGAACAATTTAACATCCTGATGCCAAAAGAAATTTACATTAGAATAACAAAGCTTTGAAAAGTGGGGAAAGGAAGAATGGCAACTTAGAAAGATGAGGCTTTTGAAAGAAAAAATGAAAATAACCATGCCTCACTAAAATACCCTATTACATTTTTGAATCTGATGGTACAACCTCATGAGCAAGAAAATGATGTATCATCCTAATACTAAACAGACAAATGAGACAATCCCTGAGGCAGCAAAGATGCAAGCACAAAAGTGCATGAATGCTGTCAGAAGTGAGCCCAGTGTGTGTTCAGTGGGCTTTTCAGTTCTTTAACTGAAAGCAGGGGTACAGTAAAAGAAAATAGCAAAAGTGAAGAACTGTTATTTCTCCTTCCCTTGTGCTCCAGAAACTACATTTTTTTAGATAAAATTATAGGCTCATTGTTAAGGGCAAGTTCAGAAGGGTGAAGTTCTGTTTGACTTTTAAACAAATATACACTCAAAAGCCTGGGAGAAGAGCTCTTCTGGAAACCTATAAAAGAAATAGCATGGCATGCTACATCCAAACATGCCAGAACTTTCATTCACAATAAGGGCCACCCTTACCAAAGAAAAGAGAACTCTTCTGAGTCCGATCAGAGTATTAGCTAACAGCAACTCCATTAAGGCTTTATATGCTCTGGAGGCAACATTGAAACTTCCCAAATTTACTTTGCAGTGGCCCACAGAAACCTTTCATGCCCATAATTTTAAAGCTGAGCTAGACAGAACTGGTGGCATAGCAGCAAAACCAGCTGCTGTTTTGCTCCCACTCACTGAGTCCTCAGACACACAGTTGCAGACCAGCCTCCAAAACTTATGCCCTTCCCCAATATTTTAGCTGGTCCTTTAATCTTTGAGCTGAGGACAGTAATCCAGATTCAAGATAATTCTAGAAATAAGGTTGTGAAATCATTCCAACCTCCCCACATTATTTTAAATAAATGTACCAAAGGGGTTAGATCCTTAACATGATATTCCACCTGTGTTAACCAGTGAGGTTTACGAGTGCCGCCCAGAAGGATACCCTCAAGGAGGGATGGCAGCAAAAGTCCAGGCAGTTTCTACAAGCCCCAAGCCACGCCTACGGATTACACTGCCCCGAAAGCCTTCTAGTTAATGTAAGTACTGGATGCAGTGATACCAGCTGTACATTAAAGTACAGTTGTTTACCTCCTCTTGGCTTCAGCAGCAGCATGAACAAACCTCATGGAACTGACAGCAAAGCTGTCATGCACCCATCACACTGACATGGTCACCTGAGACAAGAGAAGGGAACCACTGTGATGATATTAACCAAAGGATTCATTACAGGAGATCTGCAAATTACTACAACAGCTCAGTTCCATAGAGGCACTTAAAGCAGAGCCTCCTCAGTCCTATCCCAAACCCTTCACTTACTGTCTTCACATTAAACAAGTCCTTGAGCCTCGTGGCAGCTGGATTTATTACAGTTAAGCCCTAATAAATCAGCTTCTCTTTAACACTTCACTTTCTAAACCCGCATAATACTGATGACCCTTTGACACTGACAGCAAGTCTCATAAGGAGCAGGAGTTTTACAGATAGGGCAACCTTAATGTGACAAATTTAAATACAACTCTCTGCACACAGTTTCATACACCTCATTTCTGTAGCCTCAGACAATCAGTCTATACAAGAATCATAAATATTCTGAGTTGGAAGGGACCTACAAGGATCACTGAGTCCCGCTCCTGGCCCTGCACAGGACAGCCCCAAGAATCACACCATGTGCCTGAAAGCATTGTCCAAACTCATCCACACAAGGATGTTGAAGACTGCAATGAGGTCTCCCCTCAGTCTCTTCCAGAGTGAACAAACCAAATGTCCTCAGCTGCTCCTCATACGGCTTCCCCTCAAGACCCTTCACCATCTTTTTAGTCCTGCTTTTGACACTTTCTGATAGTGTCTTAGAATGGGTAAGTCTTCCCTGACAACAAGAAAGACTTATTTGAAATTTCTCATGAAACCACCAGTCAACATGTTTAACATTAGGCTGGTGTTTCACCTCATCCATATGAACTCAGATGCTTTACAATACAATTGATGGTGACAGTTTATAAACAGGAACCCTATGGATGTTTGTTCTCAGCTCAACAGTCCCCATTTTCTTCATATGTGTAACACTGACATCATCTTTTTCTTTCAACCTTAACATCTGTAAGCCTGCCATGTTATCTACAAGTCAGTAAAAAAATCCCAGCTGTATCTCATTTCCTCTCCTCTGGAGAAAAAGGAAAGCGACCACATCAGTCAGCTCTGAAAAACTTTGCAGACACGTACCTCTGACTGCTGCATCTGCTCTAGGACTGCCCAGCATACATCAAATATAGCTTCTTTTCCTGTTTAAATATCTTACCTTTTCCAGTGTGGAATTTTATCCCCAGAGTAATATGCAATTATAGTCTATACAAACTTCTAGTTTAATGCCTTCCACCTTAGGAATTTACAAGCTGGAGCTCATCATGAAGACAGTTTAGACAAACTTCTCTCACTTTGTGTTGAAATGGAAGAGAAACAGTCACCCAGTCAGTTCACATTTTAGTGAGACACATCCTGTCCCAAGAGAAATTCTGATCAGTGTGATCTCCCATTAAAAGCACCAAGAGGAACTAACTACATGGTATTCTCCTCCTACATGGCTACTGCACAGGAAATCTTTAGTATTCCTAAGTAGACCACCCATCCTGAATGTGTAGTTATTTTTGTGCCATTCAATTTGTGCAATAAAAGCAAACTCTTGATCTAGTTGAAGTTTATGTAAGAACCTTTTCTCATGATGTTCCCTTCCAACAGCAAGAGGACAAATATACTGAAGCCAGTGTGAAGCAATCCCAGTGCTCCCACAACACTTGCAAACAATCTGGACATAATTACTGGGTTTGCTTCAACAGCTGTACAGGGGTAGAGCTGAGGTTTACTGGTTTGGGTTTTTTCTTTCATGCTAATTTTCTCTCCTCTTTCACTACAGGTTAGAGCCCTAGAAGAATAATATGAGGATCAACAGCACTGAAATACCTGAATTTTAGTCCAGCGGTACAGAAACATCCCTCTGTAGGCTTTTTCATTTACCTAATCAGATTAAGTGTGAATAAACATTCTTCCTGTTCCCTGTTAATGGGAAAGGTGGTCCAAAAGTTGCATTAACTTCTGACATGGCTGCCTGAAATGTGAACAGTGGAAAGATTACCGTATTTCAACCCTACTACAGTAGTGAATGGTTCCCAACAGGTTTGTTTTTAAAAAGGGGTTAGGTTTCAGGTGCTAAGGCACTTAATCTTTTTCAAGTACTGAGCGTGCAGCAGGTTTCACTGAAGTCAATTGTGATTCTCTAGGAGTTGCTGACGTGCTCTGGTCTTCTAAGTCTGTTTGCTTTCACAATCATAAGCTTAACTTTCTGTGTGTTCACCTACCTTTAATTAGTTGCAGACACCTGAGGGTTATGAGTACACAAAGTTACACTTGATAGAGAGGGCTTCTGCTTGTATCCTCAAATGAGCACCTTCAAATGCTCCTCTCCACAGAGGAAGACTGAGCCACTTAGAGATGGCCTTTTCCCCCTCCTTGTTCCTACTTACACAGCAGTGACTAAAAGAAACAGCCTCTTTGTGAGCCATCTTATTTGTGTATCCAAATGCAGCTCTGCTTCCCATTTATTAATGAATTCATTTCCACCAGGTGCTTTCGTGCTTCATCCTTTCTCCAACATGTGACATCCTGAGAGGGATAGGGGATTTTCCTTGATACATGCAGATGACCTCTTCTCTCAACACTTCAGAGTGACTGAGAATCCCATGACTGAGGATTAATAGCTTTCACCAGTATGAAATGTGAATGCCAGTTTTGTACTCTCTCATTCACACGGTTAAGTGAGATGTATTCTGATACAGATTTAAGCTGGCCCTGTACTTGCAATTGCTTTCCTGCTCAGGTTTGTAAATCCAGGGAATTTCACCTAAGAAAGGGCAAGTTGATGCACCCAAGGATATCAGAATTCGAGTGTATCAGTGGATTGCTGGCACAGGACAGACCTCATCCATTTAAAGCATATGCTGAGCTCTCAGTAGCCCCCCGAGCACTGCATTAGTACAGACCAGTCACGAGTTATACTAATCAGAGAACCAGAGGGCAAGTTCCGCAGGGCAGCCTCTGTCAGCAGAGAGGACAACTTTCCACTGCCTAAAAGACCTTTTCTTCCAAGAATTCTTCCCTAATACCACTGACAGCAAATGGAGACAAAGGTGAACAAATTCCCCCTCTTCCAGCTTAGAGCAGAGGAAACATCTGTCATCATAATGACGACTCTGCATCCCAAGCCACTCTTCTATACCTTTACAACCTTCTCAACAGTCCCTGAGTTCATGTGCACCTGTGGCTGTGTTCTTTATCCCAGGCCTCCCAGAGGACCATCAAACAGCAGAGGTTCCATAGCACCTATCTCCCTGTCACTAAGGTAAACAGGGCACATCATACAGAGGCACAGTCAGCCATCCCCTTTTGGGACCTGTTTTTAGGATCTCTCTCCTCAGTTGCCTTGGCTGAGGGTGCACTGTGGTGTCACAAGCCACCTCTCCGTTTGTAACACTTTGGTTTTCCCAGTGAGATAGCACATTTAAGCAGCAGCTAACATGGAAACCAGATGTCAACTGAGTTTACCACCAAAATTTATCATCCTCTTCCTCCCATTGCAGTGAATCCTCTTATGAGGAGGAGTAAAGAAAAAGAATACGATGAAGTAGAACAGAATAGGTCAGGATGGAGACATGTTTGAGTGGAGCTGTTTGATCACAAGTTTCACCCATATCTGGACAAATATAAAATTATAGAGGCACCCAGAAACATCTGGCAGAGCTGTATGAAGGTTGCTACTTCTGTAAATAGCCTGAGACCCACCTCCTGGCACTGGAGCACAACATGTTCCTGTAAATTACCCAGACTCTGAAGAAGCAAGTAAACAATCAGCCCCTCTGACAAAGTTATTTACTGATAACAGTTATTCTGAGAGGTGTGGTTATTACACCTGAGGTGCTGCCTAAAGACTGAGCAACTGAACTGTTTGCTTTTTGCATACTTGCTAGTAATAAAGAACCTAAGTTAAAGACAGAAAAAACTGGGATGCAAATAAAAATCCATATGAAACTCAGAAGTTCAGCTTTGAGTACCCAAGTCAGACATGCAGGCCCAACAGCCCAGCAAAGTAACCAGAAGCTGCCCCCACATCCACCAAACCTGTGATTACTGGTAAAAAACACAGCATGTACTACAAACTACTAACTTACCAGAGCAGCAGAGCCTTGCTCGCTTTATCCTGCCTCTTTGTCCCTGCTGAGAAAATAAACTCTTTTATCTGATACAGGACAAGTACAACATTGCAACAATCAGTGCAATTTCTAAAAACTGGATCAAGTAGAATGCAAACAACCCACACTTCTCCCGCTCAGTCTGCCAGTTCTCCAGAACAGCACAATCCTGGGTGGCAGCCCTTTCATTTGCTCCCACTGATTTTATTCCCTGTAAAAAAATCCTTTCAAAACTGACACACAAGGCAAGGCAGCTGAGGCTTTACTAGACAAATACCAGGACAAAACACTGTGACAAAAGAGTCTCATAGAGCATATATAAATATTCCCTTAACAGAGTACAGCCGTATTTCTCCCTGTCCCACTAAAAACTGAGCAGCTGTACATCAAGTTCTCACACTTCAGCAGAAGTCACTGAGCTTTGTCCAGAGGCCACAAGCCACGAGCATGTGTCGAAACAGTATGAAATCTTGCCAGCTGCCTTCCCTGGACAGGGCATGGTCTCACCAGCAGTCCATGTGCTCGATTCCATTGAATCTGTGCTGCCAGAATGAGCTGATCTCTTTCACAGGATAATCAACTCAGCTGCTAATGGGCATTCCCCTGGAGGCAGAGCATGTGCCTTTGACAGTCACCTCAGAAACAGTCCAAATGCATACATTTGCAGCAGACTACAGATAGTTCACCTCAGAGACAACCATTCTGAGTTGGGTTTACAAGCTGGTTATACCACTTGGGGAGGGGACAGACTTTGTCCCAGCCACTGGACATCAGCACCAATGTTCAGCCACAAGAACACTTCCATGGCCAGCACTGAGGTTACGTGACTCCATCCAGGTGCTCTGGGTCTTGGGCAGCAAATGCTAGAGCACTGCAAGAACCATCTTCTCTTTCTTCTTCCTCTTCCTCTTTTTCTCCTCAAAACGTTCAGTGGCATCAGCAAAAAATGTCACCTCATCCTTGGCCTCAATCTCCCTCTTCAGGAACTGGAGCCCTGCCATGTTGAATCCCAGTACATCCTGCAGAGACAGACCAGCACCACACTGTCAGGCACATTTCAAGCTTGTTAGGGGGCAGAGGGTCCTGCACTGGCCACCCTCTGCCAAGAAATGACGAAAGCAGGACAATCCACAGATTTAAAGAACGCAACGTTATTTAAATATAAACTTCATCTGAGTAGGAGAACAGTCGGTCCTGCACTTGGTTCCCCACGGTCCTCCATTAAGAGTAGCTATAATATATTGTATATTCTGACAGACAAGTTGCTGACAGGCACCTGAAGTTGCCTCTGGGAAGAGGCACAGTCTACATTAATTAAGATAGCAGCCCACAGAAAAGCCCAAGAAAAACAGAAAGTTTATTTACCTCCTACATATTTAGAAACTAGTGAGACAAGGCCCAAACACACATATCAGAAAACCAAGAACAAATGAGGGACAGAGCACAGCTAGGCTCACATAAGAAAGACCATAAGGAAAAGGCAGCCTACTTTGCAAAGGAGGATGGTTTAAATGGGTTCAGACCTCCAACCAACTTTCCCAGTGGACACCACAGACAATACAGGCTCACAAACATTGGCCTATCCTGTTATTCTAGATCCTGGAGCAGGGGAGGGTGCAACACTCACCCGGGCCTCACTGACTCTGGAGATGGTAGTTTTCTTCAGATCTTCTATCACTGTCACCAGCATGTGGTTGCCTGTGATCTGCCCAAAATGTATCCTGGGAACAGAGTAGGCAGTGATGTATTGTAGCATTGTTCTTAGAAACATCAGAAAGCCCCTCTCCTGAGCCTCTATGTGTTCCGGACATACTTTTTCTCTTAAATTAGGCTTCCCCAGACCGGCACTGTAACAGGCATGGACAGATTTCTCTGGAAAAACTATTTTCTGAAGTCTAACCTACAGTGGTGCAAGGGGAAAATCTCTCTGAGGACACGGGCTCTACACAATGGCTCTGCCATCAACATTGCCACTTCAGACTCGAGGTTAGGATCTTTCATACCAGTGAGACGTGGGGTACCAGGACCAGCAACCCCATCTGGGCATGTCAACACTGCATCCAATCAGTTCATTTCCACACACCATTCACTGTGGGCTGCAGAAATTCCTTACCTCCTGCAGAGGCCACATGTTTATTCTCAAGGATGCTTCCCAAGAGCTTCAGACCCAGAGATGAATAGGAAAGCCCAGATACTGTCTGGGCAGATAAAGGACTCACTTGAGCAGGAAGAGGAGAGCTCGGCACAGGAGTTCAACATCTGAACCCAGGTGAATATATTCATTGAAGAGTCTGAGCAGGTCAGGGACATAGGAGAAGGGCAGCACCAGGAGAGATTCTTCCAATTCACTGAGAAAAAAGCAAAGGGACAGAAGCATTAGTCTCAGCCACTGCACTGCTACATATAAGCAGGAAACACTTCCAATATAGGTAGGTTCTGATGCAAAAGCTGTGCTAAGCATTCTTCATGGCCAGTCTGTGACTGCTCACAAAGCAAAGTACATCTGCACAGACTATAGCCCAGGCCAGCAGGCATCTTCTGGCACAGGGAGCAGGCACACAGCCTTCCCAACTCAGCATTCCCAAACTACTCTCCACATACATGTGCATCCCCAAGCAGCCAACCCACATTCACAAGCTTCATCCCACACTTCCCATGGAAGGAACAATATCCAATCCCCCAATTCCATACATTCTCAAAAGAGGCTGCCAGGAACAGTAACTTCAGGCTCTCTAGCACTGCCCATACCTAGCATGAACTACCATTCAAGGACCCCAGCCAGTCCCAGGCCTAGAAATCCAATAATCAGTCACAAATCTGTTCAGCAATTGGGCTCTTTGGACTCACCTTGACTTGACCTTCTTGAAAACTTCTAGCACATACGCAGAAGGCTGTAACAGGAAAGACACCAACTCTGCTTATCACAAACATTCCATGACCAACATGCCTTAAGGTCCATTTCGCACAATTAAAAACACACAATTACATCTTGTGAGACAGACAGATCAAGCTTAGTAGAACAAAGAGAAAACTCCTTCAGCTTCAGACAGCTGAGAAATTCTTCCTCCTTAAAACACAGACCCAGCCTTCTCAGGATACTCTACACTGGTGAAGAATATTGTGAAAAATCTAGTTTATATTCAACAAGCTAAATCATCTCAATTCACTTCAGTGAATCCTGTAAAAACTGGAAAAAAAATTTGGTGAAACAAACAAATTATAGAAATAAAACTTTACACAAACTCATCTCCCAAAGACTTAAGTCCTGCTACTCCTGTTAATCTGCTGAAAGCGTTTGGCAGATGGAGAGCAGAACTGGGAATTGCCAAAGTGCCTAACTATTACGTCATAGGATTTAATTCACTTCTGTTCAGTCTATCCAACTTAAAATTAAAATAGACACACAATTATGGAGGGACAGAAAGGCTCTTGCAAGGTGATTACAGGTAGTTAGAAGGAAAACAGAAGGGTGTTTCACCTGGCATTGACATGCAGCTTTGAGCAACCTGGTCTAGTGGAAGGTGTCCCTGCCCACGGCAAGGGGTTGGAACTAGATGATCTTTAGGCCCCTTCCAACCCAAACAATTTTATGATTCCATGAAAAGAGGAGAATAAGAAAAAAAGGATCTTCCCAAGGGTACTTAAAAACACAGTCTAGGAGTCCACATTAGAATAAACCAGGAAAACAAAAACCAATCTACTCAGAGAAGTGGATTTTTACTTATCAGTGAAATCCATGAGTCCACGTCTGTGTATTTTGTAGGATGTCAAAAATTCTCAGAATTCAGTGAAAACTGTTTCGTATTAGTACAGTATGAGTGAGTTAAGGCACCAGCTGTAGCCTGCAAAACCTGGACATTTAACTACCATACAGAATTTTTTCTATGTAAATTCTTCAGGAATAGAAACACAACCCATAACTGCTGTACCAATGCCACATAAGTCAACCCAGGCAGCTACAACACAGCCCTGCCTTGTCCAGAGGTGCCCTGCTGTGGTTACAACTGCACAGGCAGATTCCTGATTTAGGAACAGGAAGCCTTCATGTGCTTCCAGCTCCTGCTTCCTGAGTCAAGGCAACACAGTGGGTATGTTGGGACAAACAGTTCAAAGGTAGAGTTTCTCCCAAGAAAGAGGATTAGCAACTGTCAGAATATGAAGTACTTTTGTTTGTGGTCTGACACACTGACGCTCATTGTGGTCAAGCAACCACATAAAGGGACACATCATGACTTGCACCTATGTTTTTACCCAGCAGCCTAGCACTTGGACCAGCACATTCTCCAAGGTTTTGGAAGCAGGTCCAAATTCCCTTTTCTGTACAGTGGATTCAATTAAACATCATCCACCTGCAAAGAAATTGCTAGCTACTGAGCCACAGGATATCATTACCCCCTCTTTACCCTGATGGGGTTAAACTTTTGTAACACACATATAAGATACTAAGAAATAATTTAAAAAGCCCACCAAAAACTCCACAATCATGAAAAACCCAAATTATGTTCACTTTGTACACACCAAAGTGCCAAGTTTTCAAGTTGAATCAAGCAGTCCTTTCTCACAGCAACCCAGTGTTTTGGTTCACCCAGCAAATCAACCAGCCCCACTCAAACTGAGAAAGGACCACAGCCTGTGGCCTTGGCATTCCACTTACCGTAATATTTCCATAGGCACGGAGGATGGGGTTGACAGGAAAGGGAACCTGGAGACACAGAATAGGTCAGAATGAGGAAGGTCTGTGTGTGTACAAATGCATATTCAGACCAAACTTTCATCCACAGTAGAAGAGACCTTTAACTGAGTGTCTTCCTGCAATTCCCACACCTCCATCCTTCCCAGAACGTCACCGAAGGCCTCATTTGCAGCCACTAGGTGATCTCATTCTAACTCAAACATGTATGAGTTTTCTCCCACTGCTTGTTATTTTTCCCACTTACATTACAGTCCCTTATTTAGCAAGGAGTGTTGAGATGAAGGCAAAGACTAGGCTTTGGGATGAATTTGCAGCAGCACGCTCTTCCAGAGAAAAAACATACATCCTACTATGACTTTAAACATAAAGATATGGGAAGGAAAGAACACACCACTAACCATGCCCCAGTGCACAGTGCCATTTAGTTCTCCAAAAGGTTTCAGCGAATACCTGCTGTTTCCAGCTATTCTGACTTTATCTACAAGGTAACCACCTGAGCTGGAAGGATACACCCAACACACACTGGGATTGGTACATTCCTGTCTTTTACCTCTTTCCCTGCAGCTTTGCATATGGTATTGTGTTCCTTTAGTTTTGCCATCTCTTCTCTGTACAGCTCAATAGCTTCCATGATCCTCTCAGCCTGTGCAACACAAGAACAGCACATCAGTGACACGAGACAAGCCAAAGCAAAGCCCAACTGGACAAATGGAGGTGGAAGCAGAGGGGCTGACCCCAAGCTCCAGAGGGCATCTCGCCTAATAACCTCTGCTCCAGACTGCACCTGAGCACATCAGTCATGTCCTGAAGACGTCATACACCACCCATATATCCCCCACTGCCCTGGCTGCTCTCCGCTGCAGCTTCAGCCTGTTCAGATTAAGGATTTCCTCTGTATCTACAAGAGCACCAAACTGTTGAAATCTGCAGCCATGAAATTACCCACCCCCACACCTTCCTGGTACACCTCCCACTTCAAGCACCACATTCCATTTCCACCTTCCACAGATGCCCACAGGACTGCACAGCCCTTCGGGAAGAGGCCTGATGCCTAGGGAACATCCCAGCTGCCTTGTGCTCCTCTGGGTTGCAAATCCCATAGGGCAAGAGCAGCCCAGTCTCTCCCACATGTGACAGGCAGAGAAAGCTGCAGCTACAGAAACCTCCCATGTCATTCCCTGGAGAGATCTCAGGATTTCCTGGTGTGTGACTCTCTAGAGTCAGATTCTTCCCTGCTGGCCATGGAGCAGGACAGACTGCTCTTGCAGGCAGAGGCAACCTGCCCTTATGTGACAGCACAAGTTACTCTTCAAACTGATGCTCTGACCCTGTGACAGCCCCCCTAGGGCAGAGGCTGCTAAGGCTCAAATCAACACTGGCAGACGCACACAACCTTACCGCTTTAATGGTTTCAATAGTCTTCTTTCCAGCCAGGCCTGTCTCTCCTTGCGTCTCTCCAGGCACCTACAAAATACAGTTGAGTTCCATCCTTCCACAGCTGACACATGTAAGCACCTGCTGTGGTAGGCACCCTTCCATAACCCATACTAAGAAAAACATCAGCCCCACTCCCTAAACTGGTCATTTATGTGGGAAAATACAGGGTTTCCCAAGTGCACAGCTTTTCCTCAGGAACAGAGGCACTGGACTAACACTGAGCTCTGGGAGGCAGGACAATAGTTTTTGTTCTGCCAGCAGAGGCCAGGTAATCCAGTAAGTGTCAAAACAACCAGCAACACAACCCAAGCATCTGAGCTAGAGGGACTGATCTTCCCCACCAGTCCTGCCCTACATGGACCTGGAAACAGTTGCCAGAAGGCAGCCCAGCCTTGGTACACAGCTGGTGTGGACCTGATAAATAGGAGATAAATAGGATAAAAGCACAGCACGGTTTCAGTGTCCACAATTACTGTGTAGCAGTTTGGCCAGCTCCACACAATCTCCTGATGTTGTCTGCCTGAAGTACCAGAGCCAAATGCATCATGGTGCAACCACAGCTTCTGCAGTTCCTTCCCCCTTGCACCTCCTCAAAGCAAGAAAATTATCTTTCCTCTCTGGTACCTCTTCTACACCTCTTACAGAAATAGTTATTCCAGAGTTTGTACAGTCAGACAGACACACATTCAGATGGTGCCACTCACCACAGGCTGCTCTTCCTTTGCCACACTCTCTTCATATTCAGCTTCTTGTTGCTACAGTGGATGAAAACACAACATATTAACAGGGGTGAGCAGGCAGCAAGGATATAAATTCCCTCCAGATTGGCTGAGCAATGGAGCCTGCAGCTTCATGCAGCCCATTTCAAAACACATATAAATCAGCAGAGATCAACAGTGCCATCACAAAATGCCCATTTGTCCCTGGTCCCAACTCCTATGGGGTTGGGATGTAGCATCTTCCAGACAAGAAGAAATCAAGGCCTCTGTTCTAAATGCAGAAATAGCCCTTAGACAGATGCCAAGCCGAGACAGACACCACAGCAGTTCAGCACAAGACCTTTCACCAGTCACACAGCACAGGAGTCCCAGGGTTGTCCCACTATGCAAGAGGAAAAAGCCTACAGTCTGCCATCTCTCACATGAATGGGCATCAATTACATCAGCATGTAATTCACTCCTGGTGTGTGTATTCATGCCCACCTTGCTACTCAACCTTGACCCAAAATATTCTTTTCTAGAACCTAGCAAAGAAGCTGTCTCTCCTTTTACCCCCCTCATTCCTAGCACACCAAACACTGAATATCAAGGTGCAGGCTCTGGGTCAGCTCTTGCAAACAGGCTAGGATAAAAAAAAAACCCATACATCTATTGCAGGTTTCTCATCTACTCCTGCTTCTGCATTTCTGCCTCCTTCCCTCACCGTGGTTTGAGAACTGCTTTAAGAAGGGATGACAGTGACAGGCTCCTCTGAGGGATACAATGAAAAGACAAGAGTTACAAATTATTCCAACAAAATCTCCAATTGGATACAAGAAATAAACACATCCACCAACACGATGGTGGCTCAATACTGGAACAGTGCTCAAACAGCCTGGAAAATCTCTTTTCCCTGGAGACGTCAGTGTACCAAGACAAGTATCTGAGCATCTGCTTTAAGGTTACCCTGCAGTGAGCATGGGGTTGGACTAGAGACCTCCATACTTTCCTTCATACTGAAGTCCTTCTTGGAGTCCATGAGTCCTCACAATACATGCTCAAATGGAATAGAAGGGGCTTCTTCCAGCAGCCCTGAGCTCTGGGGCCTGCTACTAAGACAGAATGGACCTCTCATGGTAGGAAAAGGGGAAACCAAGACAAACTGCATTTAACAGAAGCGCTTTCCATCACTCCACAACAGACACCTGCTGAACTGCCCCCAAGCACACTTGTACTGAAAGGAGGACAAGAGAACAAGAGAATATCAAAGACTGTAGGCAACAGACCTGCAGAAAACCACAACTACAGGCCAGAGTCTGAGAAGCAGAGCAGAGAGCAAGTTAGCAGGCATCTGCAATGCAGGACGAGAGAGCACAGGGAACACCCGCAGTGCTGTGTCCAGAGAGTTCACAGTACAATCCCATCATGCAAAAGGTGACAGACAAGCCTGGGCACCCCAACACCAGGCTGTGATTCATAACGAGCCAGTCTGCCAAGTGTAGAGACAGGCTCTTCCACACTGAAAGATGAGGAAACTGCGTGCTGAAGAGAAAACAGGCCTGGAAGTTGTCTTTGGCAGGAAGGATGCAACTCTCACCATCTCCCTCTCCTCTTCCAAAATAAGTGGCTCCCTCGTCCTTTCCCAGAGGCGCAGGGACTTGTCATGGGATGCTGACACCACGTAGTCTCCATTGGGACTGAGTGCCAAACACCACACCTCCTGGTGATGCCCCTGCATGGTAGACAGAAGAGATATGGCATGAACACCACCCAACTCCCATCCCTGAGGAAAATGCTGCTCATGCAGGGATAATGCTTCCTTTCAACAGTCTCCAAAAAATGCCTACCTCCAGGGTCTGGATATGTTCAAATTTATCTGCATCCCACTGTTTGATCTTGCTGTCCTTCCCAGCTGTGAAGAAGAGATGGGATTTTGGCACAAACTGCAGATACATCACACTGGAAGAGAAGAAGGCTCAAATTTACCCACTTGGGGAACACTGCAGACCTTCCCCCCTCTCTATGCTCAGCAAAAGGATTATTGCTGGATCACAATCCCTTGGAGGCAATAGAGTCCACAGCCCAGATGCTGTAGGATTTGACTAACCTGTCATCATGGGCAAAGAGAGAACGGTGACAGTCTCCAAAATCCAAGCCCCAAATCTTCACATTCCTGTCAGCAGAGCCAGTCGCAATTAGAGTCCCATCCTACAGAGCAAAAAGAGAGAGGAGGGTGTGGGTAGCTGCTGGCAGCCCCATGAGGAACTGCTGCTGAACCAGTGACAAAGCACTGCTGATTAGGCAGGTATCTGGCTCCTGGAATACAGCCTCCTGATACCTCCACCTTCTCTCACCACGGTGGCCAACATTTGTGGTACTAGTACAGCACATTGACAGCACTCTGGCTCTCCTGTGAACCTCTACAGGTATTTAGTTACATCTTGACATTCTTGGCTTTCAGTGAGCCTATTCCAAAGACACCTCAGAGTAAGATGAAGCAAGAATGAATAGACATGAAAGCAGACAAGAGGCTGCTTCATCTCAGCACCTGGTCTCTGCTCCCACCAACAAAAAATTCAGGCTCCTCTCACATAGTAACTTTAGCAGAGCAGGCTGTACCTTTTAAGCTGAGTCTAAGGAACCACAACTGCATTTTGGTTTCCACTCACTCACAAAATGCCCTGGTCAGTTCTGTCATGACCACTACTCTGGTACTCCTTCCAGGGAGCACAGGACTGCTTGCTGTGTCCCATCCAGAAACTGCTGAGTTGGGAGCAAGGGGGTGACAAGAAACCATTATCCTAGAGGCCTTGCTGCCAGCAGAGGTTCTCACACTCATCCATATCACCCATTGACCCACCCTAATGATACTTACATAACAGATGTCCATACACAGCACTGGCAGTTTGTGTCCATACAGAGAGAGGAAAAACTGAAGCAGAAGAAAGATGACTCAGTTAAATACGCTGGGTAGAGATGTGTAAAAATCTCAAGCTACAGGCTAGTTTCGATCTGCATCAGAAGCTCTGTCTTTCTAGCGCTGCTCCACTTCTATTCTTGCCCTGAAGAGTTTGCAGCAGGGCCATGATGGCAGAACTGAGAGAGAGATGGAAATACCCAAGGAAGCTGAATTAATTCTGATGCTAATCACCACTGCCTATGGAGTTTATCTCTATTTCTCTCTGCCTACCTGTCAGCCCCAGTCTGTCCTGTGTCACTCCCTAACATTCATGTGCTAATACACCGCTCACAAAACCACCACACACTGCTCACAAGGAAGGTTTCTCTCCCCAGATTTTGCCTCTGCTATGCCCTATCTAGTGCCACATGTGACACATCCATCTACAGCCTGACACTGCCTCACAATTCAGGAATAACATCATGTCTGCAACGTTTAGAATTAACCTTGACACCTACAGGCTCAGAACACTTTCCAAACGAAACTTCTCCCCAATGTCAGCCAGTCATGGTTCTGTCAGGATTGCTAGCAAACAGGCACTTGAAGCAGGATGCATGGTCTCTCTGATTCTTACTACTGTTGTACAATAAATAGACATTTTTCCCCTCTGTATTCCTGATCTTGCAGGTTACCATTACATCCCTCCCTGCACAGCCTCACAGCCCATTTGGTCTCACATACCTTGAGCGTGTCAATATAGAAAATCTTCACAGTGCAATCCAGTAAGGAGACAGCCAGGAGTTTCTGGTTGGGGCTGTACCGTACACAGAGAACATCTTCATCCAGCTGTAAAATGCGCACATGTTTCATGGAAAGCCTGGCAACAAGAAGAAGAAAAAAATAATTGTTATCCCAAACAAACAAGTTAGGAAGAGACAGGAAGTCCCACACTGCACCCTAGGACAGAAAGTTAACTGTAACATGCAGCATCTCATTCCTCACTTTGACTTTTACAAGACAGGATTGAAAATAAGCAGGCCCTGCAGGTTGATGAACTTCACTGCTGAATTTACTGCTTAATGATCTGGAAGCCCATCCTGATTAGAGGCTAAACTCACACAGAAGAAAGGGATCAGAATTAAGCAAGTGCCCTTCTCCAGCTAAGCTCAGGCCTTCACAAAACAGCACCAAGCTCACACTCTTATTCACGTGTTCCACACAGATATCATGGATGCTTCTTGCAGTGCACAGCAAAGGCCAAAGCATTCATCAACAACAACAGAGATTGCAGCTCATCATAGTCTAGAAAGGTTCATTTTCTCACCTTTTCTGAACACTGCTCTCATCCTTCACAAGCTCAAACTCCCAGAACTTGACACATTTATCAGCACCTCCTGTCACAAAGCCACGCTGCAGGAAAAAAACAAAAAAAGTTATTATGAAACAAATAGCTATAATCCAGAAAAATTCTACAGCAAGGAACTGCCAACACACAAGAAGGTTTTTGAAGTGTCCCACTATCCTACAGCACTAATGATTAAGTGGCCACCACCAGGACACACTTGCTCTGCTCAAGCATGCATTACCCATTGGCTGAGCAACAACCACAATTTCAAAAGCTCTAGTAGGGTGATCTAAAACAAAGACCCCAAATGTAAATCAAAACCTGGACTGAAACTTTGGGACTGAAAGCAGTCACCTCAGCTGTAGGTAACAATGTGCACGTGCTTTGTGGGCAACTTGACACTCCCACTGTTACTGGATCACACAGACCATCACCACACAAGCATAGCCTTCTAAATGAAGAACAGTTCAACATTATCCCATTTACATTACATTCAGAACAAGGGTAAAATCTATCCTGTATGTTTTAATCTGTAGGGTGCATGAATCTCAGGCAGGTTATTGCTTGCTATTGTTTTGATTCCACTACAAAGTTATTAGACACTACCAGCTGCATCCCCCACCTCCCAGGATGAAGGTTTCCCATACCTCATCAGTAGTGCAAAAACGGCACGAAAGAAAGGAGCTACACAAAAAAACATGCAACAGATGATACTAGGAAAGGTGGCTGAGTTACCTGGTCTGGTGAAAGAGCAATGGACCACACTGCCCCATCGTGAGCATTAAGTGTCTCCATCAGACTCCCAGAAGCCAGGTCATACAGCTGCAGCTTCCCTGTCTGGGGAGAAAGATATGTCACAGAGGATAAATCAGCCCCTCTGCTCACAACTCCTGATAGCTCCTGACAGAAGAGTGCCCCTGCCATCCATCTCCCCAACAGCCAGCTTCATTAGACAACTGTTACTCAGAAGACCAAACTCCTGATCCCAAAGCTCTCCCCACATGTCCAGCTCAAGTTACAAGAGTTCCATAAAGAGTTTGGGAACAGAGCAGAACCTGACAGTCAAGAGAGGTTTTTACACCTAAAACAGAGCTCCAGATCAGGAGACATAGTGTACTTTCAGTGATGCTGCCTTAACGACACTCTCACAACATATTTCCAGAGCTGGGCAGTCTGGAGTGCAGAAGGACACTCCTTACCTTGGTGCCAACAATGACCTGCCGATCTCCTGGGACAAAGAGCGAGCAGAGCGCGTACTCACAGTCCATCGTCCGGATGCACTGCAAGGTCGATCTGTGGGCAGAGACAGCCCAAAACCTCTTATCAGACACAAAATCTGGCCCACTCAGTGAGACACGCTCCAGAGTGTCCTCTGCCCACACCTGTCTTTCAGCTGGGGTCAGAGGAGACACCACCACCATCCTACGACCCAAAGGCTATCCAGCATTACTGCTAAGAACATTTTCCATAAAAACATGCCATTATATAGTCCACCATCATGACTTATTGCTGTTGTGAGGAAGGACAGAGCTCCTGTCCTCCAACAGCAATTCCTGTCACTTCAGAGAGGAGAGAGGAGTATAAGACAGAGAGTTCAAAGGTAACAGAGCCTGAAACCCGCACCACTCAGGAAACACTAGGACAACAATATAGATCAAAGCAGCAGCCTACTCAGTCTAATACTAGATCCTTCAGATAAGGTGCCAAGAATTCCACATGTTCCCAAAAGAACAGGCAGTAGCTTGTTAGGGTAGTTAGTAGTTAGTACCTCTTATTAAGTAGGAAAAAACAAAAAAAAACCCTCACAACAAAATACAGTCTCTACCAGACTGCTATGTGTGACTTTTATGTTTAGACCTTTTGTTGCAATTTTAGCTGTACGGCTTCTCAGTTTCCCTAATAAGGAGTCAATTTGTTTTCTTTTTATTTCCCTTACATCATTCACTATTTTATCTCTCTCCATTGTCCCCTCTTCCTTAGCACTGCTTTTCTGAACACAGCATCTGAGTTCTGGGAGACCGACACATACAGGGCAGAGGACACTGACCCAACTGGACTGCATACCTGTTCCAAATCTTTACAGACTCTGCAGCTGCTGAGAGAATGGCAATGTTGTCAGAGCTAAAAGCCAACGTCCTGACATCACTGCGGTGGCCTCCAATGGTTATCTTGGACGCACGGACAGCCTGTGGGACTTGTGCTGACAGGTCCAGGTTGTATGACTCAATGACGTTGTTCTGGAGCAACAGTACAATCTTCAGCTCTCCTTTTGGAGAGAGAATCAAGTCAAATGACCTGTTTGATTAGAGAAAATCAAAGCTGTACACAGGGGCAACAAGATGGGAGGAGGGATCAAATATCAAGGTCAAGCGATACAGGAATACAGACAGAGTACATCCAACAAGCAAGTGCACACTAAGACACAGAGGTGTGCAAGATGGGGACCACTTCTGGAAGAGTGTGAACGGACTGGAGATCATGGCAGGCTTCTTCCCTGCTCCAAGCTAAACAGATGTCAAGGGGGAAATTTCTTCCACTTCTCCCCATACCAAGCAGAGCTCTCCCTAGGTAGCTGCATAACCACTGCTCAGACTCTACCACAGGCTTTCCACTCACTTGATTTTAGAGGAAGCTTTGACATTAGTGACCCGCTGAATCTCCTCCTGCAGGCTCAGCTCCACACTTTCAGGTGCCTCTTCAGACTTCTGCCTAGAAATGTCAGATAAGGGAGGAGAGTCAAATGACCCATCATAGCCAACACAAACTAACACAGAGACAGAGAACAACATAATGTAACCACTTAGCCTCCTGAAAATAACCTCTCTCTTATCCACCAATGCCAATCACATTTAGGAACAGGGTGAGGCAGTGAAGTTCATGCTGGTATGAAGACTACTAAAGAGAAAATCTGTCCTAAAAAAAGCAACCTCCTCTGGAGCCAAAGCACTTGAACAAGGCACGTGAGAAATACGGATGCAAAACAGACAACAGAAAGCTGCGTTTGAGAGTGAGATCAGCTTCTGCTCATCAACTACCACCCACCAAAAGTCCTCAGCCACTGCCAAAATGCACCTCCAGATTTACACACCCTGTGCTTTAGTTTCTACCCTGGAGTCAGACCTCTCCCTAAGGGCGGTTCTGAGGCACCTGTTAAGTGCCATGATATGCAGAGACACACTTAACACTAAGAAAACATTCAGAAAGCTCTCACCTGTATATAAGCTCTCACCAGCCTGATGTAAAACAGGAGATGAGGTATCAGAGTCACTCTGACTTCTCAGATAAAACTCTCATTCCTGCATGTCCTATCAAGGATTTACTCTGATGCACCAAGCAGGATAAAGAGCAATGTCAGGTAGAGGTGAGCAGCGCTGAAAACCCCATTTTATGTCCATTTCTTTGCAAACATTATCTTCTTTTTTGGTATGGGGAAGACTCAGAAAGAAAGGTCTTTCCTCATTCTCTGAGAGCAGTGTTCCTCAGACAAGCACCAAGGATGCACAGGAACAGCAACCCCAGAATACAATGGCTAGCACAAACAGAATGACCAGAAGCTTGGAGTTCAACTACTGTGTAATGCTACTTGAAGGGCTTTTCTAACAGTCTTCTGGATACTGACAGCATCCAAATATACCCAAAAGACTGCTTACTTGGCTTTTTTCTTTGCTTTCTTAATTTTCTTTTCCAATTTCTTCTGCAATTCCTCTTCAGAAAGGACAGTGAACACTTCCAGAACAGCATCTGTTCCCTAGAGACAGAGCAAACAAAGTCAAAGGAACGTAAAGCCCTGGCTGGCCCTCACAGAAATTACCCAAGGTCTTTAACAGCCTCCTGTACAGCCCAATAGCAGAGGAGCCTATTACTCACATGGCAGGCCAAAAACTTGCCCATTCGGTCTGTGGCAAGAGTAACTACTCGGTCTCTCCCTTCCCGCACGATGGATCCAACTTTGCTGCACTTAACGATGCGCTGTAAAGAAAGAAGAAAAAACTCTGGTCTGAAATGTCACATGATCTTCTCAAGCAAACTCAGAAACCTGCTGACAAGGGAAGTCAAGAAAAGGGGGAAATGATGGTGCAACTCTGTCCTTCCAGTTTCTGCTACTGACCTGCAAAGCTCAGCATAAGCACTGCCAACCAGCTAGTAAGTGTCTTATTCCTGTGCTGTTTGATCAAAGAGCTCTATTAGCAGAGTTAAGCTTTAAACATCCGCCTGTCCTCCTCTTTCAGTGGAGAATAATGTGTATGTGTTTTGGCACACATACTTCTGCTGATGTTTTGGAAGTAGATGAGACAGCAACTACTGCTGAGGAAGTTGTTATGGAGCAAGACAATTACAGAGAAAAACAAGAATCACATTTTCCCGAACAGGTTAAATATGACAGGGTATAAACCATGCAAATGGGGTTAGATAAAACATCTCATAGACAGCATGGAAAATGATCTTACTTCCTCAGGATGCTCATCCAACTCTAAGGTCTCGTCCTCTTCAGTGTTTTCTTCAGTGCCAGGTGAAGGCCCTTTGCTTTTCTTGGACTCTGGCTCATCAGGGTCTTTTACCTGTTCATGGGCAAAAAAAAACCAACACCTTAAGGAGTACCTTAAACCACAAGAGCTACAGTGTTCTGGTTCCTGTCTCACACTTCATTTCCCTGGAGATACAATTAGTTAGCATACACTGGAGTAGCCTACAGCATGTCTGTAGGCACTCCATGTTCTCCCATGATTATCATCCACCACCAAGACTGTCCCCTCTAGCCATAAGGTAGGAAGATCTAACACACTGTGGAAATCTTGCTCTGGAAGTGCTTGCAGCTTCACTTGAAAGCTAAAAACAGAGAAAACAGCAAAGCCTATCCCAAGGGCAGCTTCTGGACCCCTCAGACAGCAAAGATGTTGCTTTGGCTCTGGTTCCCAGAACATCAACTAGATTTTCACATGTACCAGTCCCACCTTAGTCCAAAGACAAGCAACTGGGCAGGGGGGAGACTGAGGGGTTATAGAGGGAGTGTCTTACCTCCTGGATGTACGTGAGATCCCACACCCTCAGCTCACTGTCAGCACTCCCAGTGATCAGACGCTTCTCTTTGGATAGCAAAGCCATCCCCCAGACCTGTCCAGAGGCACAGTGTGAGGAAAAGGCTTATGGCTGCTTTAACTACCACAACAGCAGTGCATCTCTAATTGATTTATTTAAATGAATAAAAAAGAGAGAATGTCTAGCTGAGACCTCCTCTGGGGACATCTGTATTGGAACTGTCATCCACTGTATGTTGATGACAGCTCCTGGAAAGTAGAGAAGTTTCTCATTTGTTCATTCCTAAAGCCTAATGACAAGTAAAATGTATGACAGTGCCAGCTTACAACCCCTGAGAGCAGGGAAGGCACAAAGTGAGCCATGACATGCAATCCAGAGTCCCTCCACCCCAACAGTTACCCACACATCCCCTTTACC